AGTGATCCTCCCGCCTCGGCCTCCCAGAGTGCTAGGATTACAGGCATGAGCCACCGCACCTGGCCTATCACTAGATTTTTATGATGTGGGAAGGATGACTCCCTCTTTGGGGGACTTGTCCAGGAGAGTGATCACCAAAGGAAGGATATACACTTCATGTCGTCTGATAGAGTAATACTAATGTATCAAAATTGTGGAGTTAGAACATTCTACATGTTACCAGAGAACCTGAAGCTATTTATGTGTAACTGAGAAGATAACAGGCTCACATGGGAAATACATATTGGTTTTAATGTTCCGATTAGATTAAAGCATGTCCAATAATCCCTGTGTCTTTTTTAAAGATTCGGAAACCTCGGCCTCAGAGAGAACGTGCTCAGTGGGATATTGGCATTGCCCATGCAGAGAAAGCATTGAAAATGACTCGAGAAGAAAGAATAGAACAGTATACCTTTATCTATATTGATAAGCAGCCTGAAGAGGCTTTATCCCAAGCGAAAAAGAACGTTGCCTCCAAAGCTGAAGTTAAAAAAACCCGAAGACCAAGATCTGTGCTGAATGCTCAGCCAGAGCAGACCAGCGCAGGGGAGGTGGCCTCCTCACTATCAAGTACTGAAATTCGGAGGCAGAGCCAGAGGCGGCACACGAGTGTGGAAGAGGAAGAGCCCCCTCCTGTTAAAATCGCCTGGAAGACAGCGGCAGCAAGGAAATCCTTACCAGCCTCCATCACGATGCACAAGGGGAGCCTGGATTTGCAGAAGTGTAACATGTCTCCAGTCGTGAAAATCGAACAAGTGTTTGCGCTTCAGAATGCTACAGGGGACGGGAAGTTTATCGATCAGTTTGTTTACTCAACGAAGGTACCCCCTCTTTTCATGGGGTTTCTTGGGGATGCCATTTCAAAAGTAGTCAATCTTGGCATTTGAAAAAAAACAACACAAGGGCACAGTTTAAATGCCTTCTGTATGTTTGCTTTCACTGCATTTGAAACATACAGTGTACTCTGTGGACGAAAAGGCCATGCTTTTCTTCTTTCTTCCCCCTCTTTTGTAATATTCCCATCTGCAATAGATTAATCTTGAGCTGTGCAGCCAGAATTGAGCTTAGCTCCCTAAAGTCATGGAAGAAATCTGGGCACTTTGCCTGTTCCTAGTTTGAATAGTTAGTTTTCTTAGTTGCAAAGTGTGCTTCTTGTTAATATCTTCCTTGTCAGTTATCTGAATTAACCATTGTTATGAAAGCCACTGTAATAATTGTGCCTGCTGACCTGTTTGGTTGCACCAGCAATTTCATTAGACTCCTGTTGATTCGGGAGACCTAACTGCATTTTAGGGAAATCCCAGAACTTTGTTCTGTAACAGTTAGCCGTGGGGTCAGTTTGGGTAGTGGGGTGGAAATAGCCGCTACAAACCAAGTGCCTCCATCACTTTGTCCTGAGCCTCCATTTAGGGCACTTATATTTTAGGTTTAAGACTTTAAAACTCTTTCATAACATCGGTAATATTTATTCCATATAACTCTTCACCATCCTCTCCACCCACACCACAGTTTTGGGTTTTGTGATTTCAGTTTAGTTGCGTCTCATGCATGTGTGCTTTAAAGAGAATTCTGTGCTTATGTTTTTCCTAACATAATCACATGTTCATTAAAATGATTGAATATAGGTATGCCTCACTGGTAATACATTTTCCTAGAGAGAAATGTTAAGGGTGCTCTGTTAACCTGTTCCTGCCCTTCGGTTCAACTGATCTCAGTAAGGCTAAGCTGCCTACAAAAATTTAAGTTGCCGCCCCCACTTGGTTCTCTTGATAGCAAATGACTATTTCACATCTTTTGAATAGCAAATGAATATTTTGCATCTTTTTTTAATGCAAATTGGCTTTATTCTTGGAGCTAGTTTTATCTGCTTCTAGA